GCCCGGACCCCCTCCCCCTGATTTCCAGTGTCCTTGGACGTCAAATTTTCCTTGTGGAAGGCTGTGCGGAGCGCCCACACGCCTCCATAAAGCTGTCTTCTTGTGAGGGCACTTTTGTTTGTTGCGCTTTTACCTCAAACCCACAAAGGAGAAAAACACAAACAACTTTTACGGGGGTTCCCCGAAAAAGGAAGAAGACATTGATGGCTTCCCCGTGCCCACCGTCCATGGCCCATCGGCCCGGTTGAAACATCCATAGGTGCTCGCCCCGGATCTCTCCCTGGAGCTCTTAGAAGTCGGCCGACTCTCTGAGGCGGTCTGCGGCCAGGCGCGAGGCTCTCACCTCTCGGGGCAGACAGTTGGACCGGGATTTGCATCTTCCAGTTGCTTACGACTTTTTTTCTTTCTTGATTTTCCCTTGTTGGTTTTTGAAGGGAACCGCGTCACTGTTTTTTTTTTCTTTTTCAGGGGGCTTAGGTAAATGGAAGGGATTCATTGAGATTTGGTCAGTTGCTGGACTTTGTTACGATTTGTTTGGGACTGTGGTAAAGGACAAGTTCGGACCAGTTTTGACCAATCCACTCAGGAAGTGAGCAAGACGGGTGCCCTGCAATTTCTCTGGCATAGACCTTTGGTTCAAGTTTGATGGAGCTCAAGGCTGCTGTCTCTTGCTGAATTTGGGCCGGATTTGGGCGTCAATGTTTGGGCCGGATCCCTTCCTTTTGGTTGGTTTCTGTGACAAGACTGTACCTAGATCATCTCTGCTCATGGTATGGGGAGGAACCCACAAGGTGCACAAATCGGCTCCCTCGCACTCGGAATCTATGGTTGACCTTCAAAAGTCAAGTTGGAGGCTGCATGGTTGACAATCCTTGGCCCATTTCTTGTTCTTTGTGTTGCGCGAGGATGCCTTGAGCGAACCAACCAGCGTTTTGTTGGTCCATGGGCAAGTCCGTTGTGAGCCAGGCGGGCGATCTGCAAGATGAGACCTCCACACTGCTGGATCTGCATCAGGCAAGGGCCACAACCTTCCCAGAAATGGAAGAAGGAAGGCGAGGGCCCCCAGCTAGGTGCCTTTCACCAACTTTTTGGGGGGAGGGTTCCCCTACTAAAACAGACCACAGAAAAAAAGGTGCTACCCTGATTCTAACCTCTCTACTGGAGGACCTAGCTTTGGTTGCCTCATGTACTTGCATGTACTTGGACTCTCTGGGAACCAACGCCAGCAGGGTTGCTCAGATGCCCAGTGATGAGATAGACCCTGAACACAAATCGCCAAGTATGGCCTTCTGCCAAGCGTGATCCTTTTTTCTTTTTGTGCGTGTGTGTGTGTGTGTGTTCTTTTTGTGTGCTAGTTTGTTTTGTCTCCCTGCCTTGCCAAGCCAAGCGCAAGGTGTCAAACGATCGATCTGCTGCAGGCAGTGAAGGAAAACCTGGCGGGGACAGTTTTTTTTTCCCTTGAGCCTTCAATGGGAGAAACATATGTGCGCCACAATCAAAACCCGGGCAGATGAAGGTTAGTAAGGGGCAGTCCCAGCCAGAAATAGTTGCGGCCGCCTTCTTAATTCTTTACATGGTTCTGGGTAGACCATTTTAATACCGGGGTTTGATTGTGACTCACGTGGCCTTTGAGGAGTGTTCCCCAGACCAGCTAGCGAACAAGGTCAATGCTCTTGCCTAAAGGCGTGGTGAATGCGGGCGACAGTTTTCCGGGTGCCCTGCTGAAAAAGCCGATGTCGTGTTTCTTATGGTTGGAATGCTAGGTCCCCCAGTAGTGCCCTTTTACCAACTCCTTTTGGGGGGGAGGGTTCCCCTACTAAAATAGACGAAACAGAAAAAAGAAACGGTACCCTTATTCTAACCTCTCTACTGGAGGACCTAGTAATGCACTGTGCAGATGAGGACACGCCGTCGAGTTGTCAGTGCCCATCAGCCAAGCGTACAATTTGGACCACATCCAACGGGGCAGAAGAGTTCCCTTTATGGCTGAGCTATGGCAACGGACAGCAATCAAAACACCGGTCTTTATCATGCCCTGTCAAATATTATGTACAGCTGCTGGAGCAATTAATGCACTGCTGCATCATCAGCTTGGCGGGAATCATTTGTCAAAGCACTTCAAAGCACTCCAGTTGTTGAATGAATCCGCGCTTGTGAGTTGCTAATTGTGGGTGTGAATTGGAATAAGTGACTTTCTGCTGGATGTCATTTGTATGGGGATGTATGCCCACAAGCCATTTTTCAGCGCTTCCCATGACTTGCATTTGCTGAAATGAATATGTGTTATTTTCCCCTGTTGGTTTTCAAATAAATTAATCACTACTGGAAATATTATGGTTCTTTTTCCAGGGGTCGAAAAACCAAATGGAAGGTGACAATCGCCATGTTAGTGGCAGGTGGCTTGTACCCTCTGAACCAGTTCCCAAGCCCTTGGCAGGATCTGGAGACCAGGGACGCCGCACTTGAAGCCCAGGAGGCGCAACGCGAAGCAAAGAGTTGGCTTCAGGAGGTACCAAGGAGTCGGTATATGGTCTGTGGCTCGTTGGGGATCTGAAACCAAGAAAGCTTATGTCTCAACCCATGTGCCCATAGAAGCCCTTGTGGTTTCTTTGACCGAGAATCGCAGAGTATTCTAGGGCTACCTTCCCCCATTCTTTCCAGGGATCCGAGCCTTTTTTTTGGACACCAGCCAACGGATCCTTTTTTTCAAGAAGGATGGTCGAACAGAATGGAAAAGGAATCAGCCCGTAGAACCAGGCCCCAACACCGCCCCCGGATGAGTTTCTGTGTAAATGATGTCCAGAGGCTCCCGCCTCATGCGCACCTGGTGAGTCTTCATTTCCTTCGAAGTATTATGAGGGAACACCCTAATGAGTGTGATTCAAAACCCGAGAACAGCCAACCAACAGAGGGCAGATGCTTCTTTGCCCACGCCGGACACTGGAGGTATGGGCAGAGGCGGTTGTCATGGAGCCACCATGTGCGTTCGCTTGTGCTCGCCTAGCTACCGAAGACTTGACTTAAACACTTTTCCACATCCTTCTCTTCAGGAAGCGGCCGAAGACTTTTGAAAAGAACTGGGAGTGAAGAGACAGGGGAATTGAAGTTATGAGATGAGGATTGTGTTCAGGCCCTTTGGTTGCCATTGATCATCACACACACATACAACGGGTGTTTTGGGGGTCCCTCTGAAATGTATGGCCGTTTTTGGTTTCTCGACTTGATTGGCCTTTTGGGGGCCTGGGTGTTGTTCTCACAAAAAGCGGCCTCAGGCCATTGGAGACGCGTGTGACTTTGTGTTTCCAGGGGAGCTCCTTTGTTTGGTGTCAAGAAACCAAAACGAACCCAACCTCGTCAGAAGCACAGGTCTCGTTTTGGTTTCATCTTGCCTAAGGTTGACTCTAAAGCGGTCCAACTCATTTTCACCAAAAGGCGCAGACGTCAGTGATCTCTTGATTTCCGGCTCACCTTTCGCTCAAGAGTACTTTCCCGGTGTCGATTTCACAATTCAAGGAGCATTTGTGACAGTGGCGCTTGACTGGACCAGTAGGGCGATAGAGTTTGCTCCGATACAAGAAGGCGACTCGAGAACTCTGGCGCCCTTCTCCTAATATTTGTGTGGTTTCTGTTTCCGATCGCTGCTTGATTTCCCTGTTTCTTCAACTAGCCAATGACAAAGCAACGACTCTAAACACACAAACTATGTTGAAGACTCACGACATGTTGGCATCGGTTTGATGATTTTTTCCAACCCACGCATTTCAGCTTTTGTTTTTCCATTTGTGTCCCGAGCTGCATGCGCTTGTTTGTTTGCCTGTGCCAACCTGCGTGTTTCTACATTTTTCCATGGGCACCCAGTGTTTGCAAGTGAGAGCCGGAATGGGGTTCAATGATTCAAAAGGTGCAAGGGACATGTATCGGAGTGGAATAGGGTCCAAAACCCCCCAAGAAGACGAAGGCGAGGCCGAACGAAGGCTTGAGAGATATTCCAGTTTCGCGCATTAGGATTTTGGCGGTAGCTCACATGAGGTGTACCCCGCCCCAGTCTGATTGTCTAGGGTCTGGGAATCAGTCCTCTGTCCGTAGGCCGCTTTCGCCTGCTTCGTGGAGAGTCTCGCGGATGCCCCCAAGTGTGACGATTTGCGTGTAGGCCGGTGGGCCGCTCGCGGGCGTGGGGCTTGGCTCATGTTGCCGATGCGCGCCCGATCTTCGATTCCTTTGTAGATGGACCCTCGAGCTCAACCCCGATTACGAGAATGGTTGCCCCAATTTGGATGATGAAACTCCTAAGGTAAATCATGGCGGCTCTATTCACCCCCTGTGTTTTAAAGGTGGATTGAACAGGCTAGAATTCATCCTTGCTGGCGCCGCCGAATATCGGACGTGGCAACCTCAACGACAAAAACCGGTGCTTTGAAGCCCAGGCTGGATCGTTCTTTGGTCTAGGTCTCCCAGTAGCGCCCTTTTACAACTCTTTTGGGGGGAGGGTTCCCCTACTAATTTAGACGAAACTGGAAAAACATCGGGTGCCCTTGTTCTAAGCTCTCTACTGGAGGACCTAGCTGTGGTCCATGTAAATTTCTCCACCCGACATGTGCAGGCGTGGCCCGGCAGCTGGCTGGCGGTGACACGGAGAGTCTCGAGGCCTGGTGGCAGCATTGAGCTGGAAGAGGACACCCCTTACACCTGTGCCTTTTTTGGTAATAGCCACGCATGCTTTTAGTGTCATGGGAGTAATAGCCGGTCGTTTTTGTTTGTTTTGTTTGGGCTTTTAGTTAATCTGGAGCAATGCGTGCTGTTTTGTTGTAATAACCCATGTCTTCAGTCCCGTTTGTGGCAATAACCCATGTGTTTAGAACTTTGTTTGGTATTTGCTACACATGTTTTCAGTGGTAGACTCCCGGTGGGCATTGAGGTTTGATTAGGTTGATTTCCCCAAAAGGTCATGCAAAGTTTCAGGTACCCCTAGGTACCGTTCGGCTGCATTCGAGCCTTTCAGAAGGCTCTCTTCAGTTTCCTAGCTACAGTAAGGCTGTCAAGCTCGTTGGTTTTTGGCGTTCGCAGCTGTTCAGCTTTTGAGAGTTTCAAGCGACGACTTGGCCTTGAACTTTGGTAGACTGTGCCAAATGTCTGCTATTCTCGCAGAAGCATACCAAAACGGAATGTGTGCGTTCAATTGAATGGGTCCGAACCCTTTTTTAATAAGGAACAGATAAAGCCATCGCGTTCTAAATATCCCAGGGCTGACACTTCCTTTATGCTTAAAACGTCGGCGCTTTGCATTCTGCGAAGAGTTGTCGCGTCCCCAAGACCTTTTGAGCTCACATTTTGCCGGGGTTGAATTCGAGTCCTTGAGCAAATACTTGTTGAACTGGAACAAAGCAGATTATGCCAATGCACCTAAGAACCTAGCGCATTTTTCTCTGTTGGCTTTAATTCTGGATGGATTTGAGCATGTGGCATGTTATTCGTACTTGCTGTGGCTTTCGCTAACAACTACAGAAAGACAAAAAACAAAAGAGCAATCATGGTTTTGCTATGGGAGCCCTTTTTTGGCATTTCATGTTGTTGTTTTTTTTGCCGTAGACAAATTTGGGCATGGACCCCCAGCGCCTTCCACATACGGATCTTCAGATGGTTCTGTGTTGTTTTCAGGGTAGCCCCTTTTTTGTGGTTTCAAAGGGAAACCAAAAGGACAACTATTGTTTTGGGGTCCCCTAAAAGAGACACACCCGGAGTGGTTTAAACCTCACGATTTGATTGCCATAGAGGAGTTTCCTTTTTGGTGGAGTGATTAAAATAAGGGGCATATTAGTGTCTTACATGAGGGACTCCTATGATCGGCAGTCTCCTCTCTCTAATTCCCTTCAACCTCCCCAAAATCTGTACCCCCCCCCCCCGAGCTTAAATTCCGTAAGCAAACAGGTACTCTCCACAGGGCTCCTCACAAGAAATTCATTTTGCAACCATTTGAAGCATGTTTTTGTTTTTCAACGCCAAACATAAAGTTGGGTGGCAACCACCATTTACAAGTTGCAATCTTCGATCGGTGTTTTTTGTTCATGCATCCGGATCCCTCCCTGAAGCCTCAGGCTCTGCTCTCTGTGCTCGCAGGCCGATTGCGCGGGTTCACACCTGCGATTGGACTCAGCACTGCCCTGATAAATGGGGGGTTTTAACCTACCAGCTAGGGGCTAGGTGCCCCACTAGTGACCTTTCTTAACTCTTTTTGTTTTTCTTTCGGGAGGGTTCCCCTACTAAAATAGACTACGGAAAAAAGGGTACCCTCTCCTGGAGGACCTAGGGGGGGTTGGTAGGTTTCAATGGCGGGCTATAAACCTACCAACTTGGGGGTTGCGGCCAACTGCTCCAGGTTTTTTCCTTTTTGGTTGCCCGTCCTTTCGTTTTCAACAGACGGATCAATCTTGCGGATTGTTTGTCTTGCAGTCGAGGGGTTATAGGTCGCAGGTCACTCTTTCTTTTGAAAGGCGAGGCGCGCACCGGCAGTTCATATGCGCTCTCCATGGACCTGCGATCCCCGCAAGAATCATGGACCTCCAAAAGGGGCTATGGGGAGGGGGGGCTATCCCTTGTTAAGCCCTTAATCAGGCCTTATGGGCTGATCCTTGGGTTCTCCTGGGCTTATCCAGGGATAGCCCCCCCCCCCCATAGCCCCCCCGAAGATTCCATATCAAAGAAGCTTGTAGGCAGGCACCAGGTAGCATTTGCCCTTTGGCCGCCGCAGAACTCGAGGCGGGAACTGGATCCCCAAGCAAGCAGCAATCTTTTCTTGAATGCGCGTCCATTCAGCGATGTTTTGCACAAACTTGATGACATGTGTCACTTTCTTTGTTAGTTATGAATCAAATAGAAGTTCAATACAAAGTGCTTGTGTGGTCAGAACGGGTTAGTTTGCACATGCTTAGAAGGTACTTCGGACAATTTGATACCTTAATGCTGATTTTGTCCTAGTTATTGCGCTTGACCTCCTGCATCCTTGTTCCCATTGTTCCTTAAAGGAGAACTACCCCACGCTAGGCCAAGTTCCCTTCTCATTGTTTCAAGGATTCTTCGTGATGCATGAGATAATGCACTTGCCGCCAAAAACCCGACCTATCCCCTGGTTTTGGTCCCTTGTTTTTCTTCTTGAAGTGAATCCGGCCATTCCTGAAAGAGGTAGGCCATGCTAGGCCGAGTTCCCTTCATGGCTACAAACTGAGGCTTTTGGCCTTGACCGATTTCCGGGCTTCTTTTAAGGCCTAAACCGCAGCCGCGCCAGGCGAGGGCGAGGACGTGGCCGAGCTCGCCAGTGAGGCTGGAATGCCAAAGGGTTGCGAATTGGCTTGAGATGATGAAACAAAGGGCTGAAGCCTGGAAGTATATGCTAGCTCCCCCAGCTAGGTGCCCTTTCTTACCCTTTTTTTTGGGGGAGGGTTCCCCTACTAAAATAGACTACAGAAAAAATTGGGTACTCTTATTTTAACCACTCTACTGGAGGACCTAGTACGGGATGTTCAAAGTTTGTTTCTTGAGCTCCCTTCGAGCCACTTTTAGGGTCCCACATTTTGACTCGCACGTATTTTACACGGGAGTTTGATCACCAACCATTTTAACAGAGTGCAACCCATTGAATTTGCATGCGTGTTGTATAATATGATATAATATAAACATAATATAAACATGTTATAACACATATATATATATATGCATATGTTCACACATTATTCGCTGCGACGCCACGACTAACCCTTAAGAAGGGCTGTTTCACCTATTCGAAAGGGATGATACAGGCAAGCAATATTCCGAAAGGGAGAATCTGGGTAATCAATATTTGGTCGCGTAGTGCCATTGACGTTTGAGGTTGCAGCCTCAGTTCCCAATGCTTCCTTGAGGCGTATGGGTCCGTGGCCGCTTGCGTGGGGCAGATGCCTGCGCCAGAAGCAACTACAATCGCTTCCGCCTGTTGTTTAATCCCGCGACCCCCCCCCCCCTGCCCTCCCCCTTCATATTGATGCTTGTGTTGGGAAGACAAATTCCCTCCTTATTCCCCTGTATGTTTTGTTTTGGGAAAACATATTTGTGAAAGGGCCTCAAGTGTTGGCAACCCCCCCCCTATTCCCCTCCCACATTAATATGCTCTTGTTGGGAACTCATATTTAGTCAAGGGGTTCCAGGCTCCAGGGTTTCCACTGTCCTCCCAATGAATTTCTTCCTTTGTCGGGCACAAACACGGTCAACGCGGAATTTCGCCTAAACCCGAAAGCCTACACCCAAACATCCCCAAACCCAAGGTGAACGCGCAGTTCTGAGCGACTGCAGGATCCAAAGCCTGTCGTTTCAAGTGACCCGACACTTTGGCCGAGCCATCTGCCCCTAACTACAACCGACAACGCTGGGATTTAGCTGTTTTGCATTTCTTGCTTGCCCGCCGCGCTTGATCTATGATGCGGATGGGAAGGGGTCAAAATTGGATCCCTTAAGTTCCAAGCGAATGCGCATAACGTGCAACCAACAAAAAAACATACTGCGCAAATACACAAAATCAGCCCTCTCAAAAGTTGCCACATAACCCAAAAGCCACATAACCCAATCTTCGAGCCGTACCAAGGCTCCAGCTTGCGAAAAGCACACTCCAAACACAAAACTCACACCACGGAGAAAAAAAGAAAACAAAAAACAAAACAAGCAGCTAGCACTTGTGTGGATTTTATTGCCTGCGGCCAATTGGGCCTCGGTGGATTTGATGTTCCAAGAACATTCGCGGCTTGGCCAGGTTTTCAATAATGGGAAGCCGGTTGATCAGTCTCCGCTAGGCTAGGTTCCCCAGCTAGTTGCCCTTTCTCACCCCTTTTGGGGGGGAGGGTCCCCCTACTACAACAGACTACAGAAAAAAGGGTACCAACTTATGGCAACCTCTCTACTGGAGGACCTCTGTGTTCATGCTAAGTGCGGGGCTGCGTTCCGAATACAAAAGACGGTACCAACTTATTCTAAGCTCTCAAATCTGGAGGACCTAGGCCCGGTTTCCCTGTGCTAACCCCACGGCAGGCATTCTCCAGCCCCGAGGCCTGCGCTCCCAGGCGGCGGGGGAGGGGGGGGGCGGGGGAAAGGGGGGGAAAGGCGTGTCTTCCATATGCTTAAGAATATTTTTGTTATGTTCCCTTGCTAGTTTTAAAAGGAATTTATCACTACTGGACATGTTTTTTTCTTTTTCTGAGGGGTCGAAAAACCAAATGGAAGGTGTGCATTGCCGCGAGCTTGCGTCTTTTACTGCCGAGGCCGCTTTGTTCGCCTTTCGCCTTCAAGCTGCCTCTTTTTTTTGAGGACGCGGTTTGGGGACTTTGGGCGTTCCTGGCCGGTTTCTGGGACTGGCTTTGAGGAACACTCGCCAGCAAAAGAAATGCTTCACTTTTGAATCCGCCAGGAGAAATTGCCACCCAGCTTCTCCCCAAATGAGCCACGGTCAAGATGTTCATTATAGACTACTGGAAAGTTTGACCGAATCAAAAAGAAGATTTCAGCCAAAACGAATCATGAGCATTTTCAGCCTTGGGGTCTCGAGTTACCTTGATATCTACACTACAAGGGTATGCAGTATGCAGTATCATGTACGCCTGGCCTTAAGCTGTGGGTTCATGACCCGAAGACTCCTCCCCTTGGTTTCTGCTCCATGTTTCCAAGAGAATGGAGACTTCGTGTATATGCCTCTATACCTCCATGATCAAAGGCTGAACCATTCTCTCCACTTGTTCTTTGAAGAAACGCGACCCGACTGCTTGGTTCGCTCGCCGGCTAGGTGGCTAGCTGGTTGGTTGGTCAGTTGGCCGGCTAGTTGGCTAGTCAAGCTAGTTTGTTGCTTAGTCAAGTAATTGGCTACATTGTTGTTTGGCCAGCTTACTGGGTAGCTGCTTGGTTGGCTAGTTGGCTGAGCTAGTTGGCTGGCTGGCTCGTTGCCTAGCCACTTGCTTCATCTGCTTGGTCAGCAAGCTGCTAACTGGCAGGCTACTTGTTCGGCTAGGGAGCCGGCTGGCTTGTTGGACTGCGAACTGGACACGGACAACATACTGGGAAGTGTAGATTGACTCGAGACTGGGAGAGGGGCAACTGGGAACTGGGGAGAGTGTGGCTAGTTGGCTGGCAGGGTGTCCAAGGATTCTTCTACGTGTTTGCGCATGTTTCTAGACGCAAGCCAGTGGTTGGGCAGTTGTACCGTGCCATGCCGCGGATTTTGGACTTTACTTCTTTCATGGAGCCCGTGTGCCATGGACCCAACAAACCCTCCCTTCCACACCCATCCTTATTTTGATGCCGCAGGCCACAAGACAGCCCAACGTGGGCGAGCGAAGACATATCCCCCGAAGGGCAACAGGACAAGCGCACGGCATGCTTGCAAGGGCCCACAGAGGGAGGGTATATTGTTGCGGGTGCGTTGTTTTTCCGCGTTTCTGGTGTTGTTCGTTGTTTGTGTGTTGATGTTGATGTTCTGTTGCGATGCTTTGAGTGCGTGTGTGTCGGTGCGTTGGTTGGGTTTTGGCTCTGGCTTTGACCCACCTGTCCGGGGTACATCCTCACACACCAAGAGACCCCTAAGGGAAGCTGCGGATGGGTTCGTAGCCGTTCCCACGGCGCGCCCCAAGGAATGTCCAGAAGCTCCCCCAAGAACCGTCCAGATATCACCCCTGCCTCAACTCGTTCGGGTTTTTTCCTATGTAGCTGTGGGTCAAAAATAGGTACCCCAAAATGCGAACCTGGTAAATGGACACATGGACTGAAACCTGTGTTTTTTTTTTTTGCGGAGTTTATTTTGACCCATACCCATGTCCCATTTTGGGGCGCTACCAACCTGGAGTGCGGATCGGGGATCTGGGCTTGCTTTCCAGGACTCGGGCTACGATGAGTGGCTGGAAGAAGCGCTGGAAGAAGGCGAGGAGGAGGAGCTGGAGGTGGATATGGAGGAGGATGCAGAAGAGGAATTGCTCGAAGACGAGGCAGGGTTTTGGCAACACGCCCAAAGTCCAGATTTTCCGTGTCTCTGTTTCCCAGTGGTGCCTTTTTTTAAAAGAACTGTTTATGGCCCTTTAAACTCAACAAACAAAAAGGGGTGCCCTTTTTTCCCATGGCCACTGGACGTCTGAGGTGTTGACGGGTGTTGCACTCTGCGTTTGTGGAAATCATACATTGATACAAGTTGATGCAATGATGTATGCAACATCCTGGCAAGCCATATGATATCATATGATAGTTGTTTTTTGGCTTAGCTGGCTTTGACCAAAAGGAACAGTATATGGTGTTGGAAAATAAATTACGTTTTTGTTGAGGCCTTTTTTTAGTTGTTTAAACAGAAAATGACAAAGCCGGGTCATACGGAGTATGGATCAACTGCGGGTATGCCAATGAACAAACACAGACAGGCCATGCGGAATATCGGTCAACCATGGATGTCCAATGAGCAATCAAGCAAAGGTGCCCCACGGAATACGGTTCAAATACAGGAATTGAAAAAGCAGCATGTCTGTTCGGGCTATTTCCAGCCAACTTGATGTCCTCCAAATTGCAGGGGCTCGCATGGCTGATCAACTAGCATCGACATACATCGACCAGAAAGCGGGCTCCCATTAATGAACAGTTGAACCAAATGTTGTGCAGAGGCCCTTTGCTGGGGTAGGTTGCAGGCCCATTGGGTCGATGCCCAACTTGGGCCTTTTTTGAGGTTGAGGGTGTTGCTCAAATCGGTTTAGAGAAGTCCAAACATCGCTGGGCTACCCTGACAGCCAAGCCCGAGAGGCGGAGCCTGCCAGAGATGCTTTGCTAGGCCGGACGTGGGTGAAAGGGGTAGGCCGACTGTACGGGCCCAAAATTTTCTCCCTCCCCGAGTTCCTGGACTTTAAACACTTTTGGATTATTGTAGCGGCAACCCAAAAAAGATTCGCCTATCCACTCAGGAAGTGAGTACTGCAAGTAAGCCAGCCACTGGAATTCACAAGATTTCCCTCGGCTCATTTCTTGCAATACTCAAGGCATCCACCGTGTCAGGGTTGCTGCGAGGCACTCCAGAGAAGGACATTTTGGGATGAGGCTCGGTGAAAATGACCTATTCTCCCACGGATCATTTGGGCTTGGGAAGGTCATGGGTGACTTGCCAAACTTCCGCACAGAAGCCGGAAGACTCGCTGAATGCCCCATGTCCTCTTGGGGAAACAAGTAACTTTGACCGTATTCTGCTTTTGGCAGATACGTCAGACTGTGTTTGTGGGTTGCCAATCCGGAGCAAGGCTTTCACCCGACATGGTGCAGGTTCTTTTGGTGCATGCTCATGTGCGCTGACATATTTACTCAACCATAGATTGCCGCTTCTCAATGGTTTCAAGCTCAGCTGCCGCACCCTACGCACAGATCTGGTATTGAAGGAATTTGTGGATACGTTGGCGGGTGACCATGTGGCTGGACTCTCAGCCCACTTCACGCGCCTCCCGTAGCCGCTGAGCGAGTTTGAAATGTAGGTGCTCGCGACCCGCACAAAGATTGAAAAGATCGCCGTGCCGGCTTTCTTCCTGCCATTGCTGGGTACTGGCCTGTTCATCATTGGCGAGTACTCTCAGAAGACAGACCCCTCAACGGGCTTTTGTTTTTTTCCAGGTCTTTAGCACAAGCGAGATCCCTCTTATGTTGTGCCACGCATTCCCCCCCCCCCTATTGGCCTTTTTCCAGGACTGATCCTCCAGAACGGGCCTCAGGCGACAAATGAGGGGAAACCAACCTTTTCGGGGCTCCAAGGCCTTTGGTCCAGTTGCAAAACTGACGCGAAATTTCATCAGGACATTCAAGGGTTTACACCTGGCTGGCGTTCACCTTGTTGGCCCTGGGTTCTGTTCTTCCAAACGATCCGCCGAAATGATTGTGACTCCGTGTCCGTCATTCTCATAAAGACAACTTACGACATCTCCCTCGATTTCCAGGATTATTTGTTACCTTTAGGATTCTCTCCGTCAATGATAGGGAGGAGACGGAGAAAGAGAATCCTGTGTCACTTCCTTCATGGTGAGGAGCGGCTGTGTGTCAGGTCTCTTCCCTAAGCCGCGAGTGAAGGAAGAAGTGACGAAGAGATAGAACGTTAGCTCGTGAATCCAGCCGGTGGCGGTCATCTCTTTCATCTGTCTTCTCGTGAATTATTCCTGGTCTGACGAAGGAAGAAGCCAGGAGAAAGCTTATTCAAGCCTCTCAAACCTGGACCTAGCCATCCATCCTCTCAAGCCACAGATGCTTGGTGTCCCTTCGGTGAAGCGTCCGCGCGGCCGAGCTCCAGGCACTGTGGACAGCAGCCCGGGCACTGCCTTGCCCTCCGAGAGCCGCTTCATCGGCTTTCCGGGCCTCAAGGCGGCGACGAAATCCGATCCATGGTTGCGCCTTTGCTTGTTGGTATGTACAAGAGAATCATCAAACAACCATCCACAGTAGCTTGGCTTGAGATGAGTTCCATTGTTTTTTTCTTTTGGTTAAGCTTTGCTCGGAAAATAGATGGGGTTCGAGTCCTGGTTTACCTGGTGGTTTAATCATCTACCAGGGAAACCCATCTACTTCCCCTAAAAGGACACCTATGGGAAGAACGTTGGGGAGGTTTCGTTTATCCCAGGGACCCTCCCACCAATTCTCAGGTATCCTAAAAGTTATCATGGAGCCTGACGTTCCTTTCATCGACAATGACAAGCTGTTGCACCAAGGATGTCAACTCACAATGGCAGCACAGAGTTGACTATTCACCCAGTTGCAGCTAGTGACCCTGGTAGGAAGCCGTTTTTTGGGTGACCATTGGCGATGAAGCCCAGTGAAAAAGGGATTTCGAGGGAGCGACTCTCCGCACCTCCTGGGATATCTATGTCTCAATGAGACAAGGCGTTGACCAAATTCGATGGCTTGCTTGAATTCCAGGAGGAACCTCGGTTTGCTTTGCATAGACGTGTTTGCGACCAACGCGCCTTTGGAAAAGGCCGGAGTAACTGGGTTCCCTGCCCAAATGGATTCCGTGCTGGTCCTCTCGTGCGCCAGCCCCCCTCACATGGTTATTGTTGAGAAACATTTTACATTTTTGCTTATTGTGGTGTAGTGGTTGAAATCCAACTACTAAACTGCTAAAACTTACATTTTTTTGCTCCCCTTCCAACGTCAACCACGCTCATCTACTTATCACCCCCCCCCCATCTTGCACAGCGCCAGCCCCGCTTTTTGGAAAAATCCGAGACTGGCCAGCGCCAGGCGCCTGACTCTGCGAAGTCCTCGGGTGGCGCAGTGCCGCGCTTACTCACAGAGAGGGGGACGGAGAGACTGTGGATGGAGGAACTCCGTTCGCAGCATTTAACAGTCACCTTTTACCCTTTTTGGGGGGAGGGTTCCCTACTAAAATCCACCGAAAAAATCAGGAAAATCCCTTATTCTAACCTGTCTACTGGAGCATCCTCACAAGAAATTAATTTTGCAACCATTTGAAACATGTGGCTTTTTCAACACCAAAATAAAGGGGTGGCCCACCATTTACAAGGCAATGTTCAGGTGTATAATGTAAGGATCCCTGTTTAAGATCTGCAGGATTTCGTCCATCCACAGGAGGGACAGAGAGCGAGGGAGTGCTCTTCACATTTGGCCGCGTGGGTTTACTTGGTTGCGGGTGCCAGGTGCGGCTTTGCGTGTAGCATTTGGCCGGTTGCACGAAGCAGCTCTTGGTTCACTGGGCTGCTTGAACGGCAAGACACGGTTCTTCTCTGCCAAGTGATGCAATTTGCACAAGAATTCCCTACGAGGCGTGCAGACACAGGCGCCGTGTTGAAGCAGCTTGGAACATGAGCCTTGGGATCTTTTTGTTGGGGGACTGGGGCCCGCGGGTCGATGTGAGGCGCCTCGACCCACTTTCCCGGTGTCGGCAAGAGTGGTATCTCACGCAGTGGCCACGCCGGCACCGCCACCTGGCCAGCAGTTGGGTGGTTTTTGGGGCTATCCCTGATTTGTTTTCTAAGGGATAAAGAGGAAAACCAAGCACTTGTGCAATACTGTTTTAGAGCCTTAGCAAGTGCAACATAGGCTTGTGATGCTTGGTCGTTAACGGCCCTTACTAGACCTTAGGCAACAAGAAAGGCGCCCTGTGTTATAGCTCTACATCAGTATCAGCCCCTTCTCTTTTGAGACTGGGGGACTGTGGTAGCGCACTGTGATTTTGAGGCTGGCTATCTTGAGCGAGTACGATTGCTTTGTTGAGCGTTTGTACCTGCGAGGTCTGAATCAATCAACGGGGTCCTCTACTTGTTTTTCGTTACATGCTCCTAATTGCTGCTGCTTATTCAAGCCAGAGTATCTGCAATTATCTTAGCATCTTTCTTTCATTCCTGTTTGGTATGAGAGTTGATTTAATTGAAATAGATTCCCGTATGGAAAGACAAGCTTGTGATTTCTTCTAGTTTGCCTGCCCTTTAAAAGGATTGACACACCAATAGAAACGCAAGGAACCATGCAAGTGGTTTAAAAGCTTTGAGTTGGCACGCTTTAAGTTTACGTCATATTTTTATTAGAACTCAATGTTGTATTCCAATTGGTTTGCAAGCTTTAAATTGCAAGGCTTTGAGTTTAAATGGGATTTCGATTGGAGTTCACTTCGAATGTTCATTTTGACTTAGATTTACATAGTACGTTTTGTTTTGTTTTTGCTCGAAGTAGGATGTCAATTAGAGTTTAATTAGAGCTTATGTTATTTCAGATGTTAACTCGGAATTCGCACTTGCACATATTTAATTGAAAGTCATGTTAAATAGAGTTCAAAAATAATTTCCGTCCAAGTCTAATATAGGAATTAGTTTTCAAGACTGAACCAGAGTTGAAACGTAATTGATCTAGAATGTTGTTCCTTCAATTACCCGTTCTTTTTTTTGAACTATACGTTGATTCGGAATTAATTTCCAAGTTTCTGTGATTTTGATTAGATGTCCAACATAATTTAAGTAGAATCTGGTAAGGATGGACACGCTGGTCGTGTCTTTCAGTTAGTTTACATAGGCTTCGTACACTTAGCAAGTGTTGACCAGGCCCCCGCGATGGCCGGTAATTGGCGTCCTGGGTGAAGTGTCGGCAGTTGACCAGCACTTGCTTAAAAATGGTTTTGTAGTCACACAGATGTTTTTTGCCATCATCAAAGCGCAGCACAAAGTCACTTTTGTTGAAACGTCACTTCAGGATAGTAGGGGGGATCCGGTTGAGGGGTTGGGATGACAGGTAGGATCATTGCACATGCAACGCGCGGGGGCGGGAGGGGGGGGGGCGACACGCTAGTGACACGCTCACATCCCAGAAAAATGACCGTTCAACGTATATGTGCCGGCAATTGACCACCCCCCCGACACGCCGTGACACGCCGTGACACGCTCCTCAAGAACCCCTCCCAACCTCAAACTTGCCCTCCGCACCTCAAATTTGCCGCTCTCCCCTTTCCCCTGCAACCCCATTCGAAAGGACCCTGGAAGGTCATTTGTATCATTGCACAAATTGCACTAAGTACAGATGAGTGATACTTGCTAGCAAATTGGTTTTGCAGTCACTTAGACATAAAGTGACATCGTTTTGCCCAAAATCGATGTGCCGGCAATTGGCCAGCCATTGGGGGGTGCTGGGAAGAGGAATAAATTTACGTTATTATTGTGAATTGAATTGACATAGGAGTTCCTTTGCCAGTAGGACTTTTGGTAGAATTCAATTGGACATTAGATATAATCTAGTAAGGAAAGACAAGCTGGAACATACATACAATTTGCCTAGACAACCAAAAGGCCAACTCGAGAACAGACGTAGACCAATCATAGACACAGAAAACCCAAAACAACTAGGAAAGCCAGAAACCACCAACGCTTGAGGAAAACCAGGAAACAAACAACAAAAACAATCAACCTTGAGAAAACCAAAAACACCTCAAGGACACAACCAAAAACAACATGTTTGCAGAACTCTTTCAACATGGGTTGTGCATCAAAGAGTTTCTAAAACATGTGTTTTGGTTTACTCAAATGGTTTTTGTTTTTTCCCGCGTTTTTGTTTCTGGTTTTCTCAATATGTGTCTTTTGTACTTGTTAGATCAGGTGCAACTGACATGGCTGACCCGTGGGAGGACTGAAAGCCTCAAATTTTAGCTTGACTTCTTTTGCACAGCCCAGTAGTGGATAAACGAGTTCAGTAGAGGAATGGCAAGGCCGAAGCTTGCGTTTTGCACCCGAATCGGGGTGCTGAGTGTCCCTCAGGTGGCCAAGCTGTTTGTTGGCATGCTCGGAACCCTGCATCTGTTGTCAGAAATGTTTCTTTGCCACCCGTTCAGACATGCTCAGACCACCAGTGTTTGAGGTTTACGCAACATCCAGTTCTGTCCCTTGAAAGTGTACGGCCTATTTAGGTTTGGCCCTGAAGAAGGTATAAAGGGCACCCCTGTTAAGGCAGTTTCCTTGATTATGTATGCCAAGGTTGCCACAGAGGGTTGCATGATTTCCAGTGAGGGGAGAGGGGGGATATGTGTAGTGTGCTTCCTTCTATTTGTTCCAGTTGGATTTCAGGGAAGTGGCCAAGACTGGTGACTATATTGTTGCTTTTGGCTGAAGCAAAGTTTCGCCGTGTTCCACCCTCCCCATGTTGTTTTGTTTCATGTCTCCACTTTGCCCTGGCCTATTCAAAGGTACGTCACGATGTGCAACCCCCACGGAGCTGCCGGGGCCCCAGAGCAAAGAGTTTGGCTGTCCCTTGGACAATCCGCAAACCACCGAGGGCCCACAAGTAAGAGCGGCCCCTGTTCTTTTTAGAGGGTGGAGAGGCGTAGCCGTGAAATAGATGATTGGCGAAGAAAGAAGAGATGAACAGCAAGGTGTGAAGAGAACAAGATGTGTCTCTACCTATTGGCATTGTAGCATCATGTTCATCATCCATTTGTTGGTTTCTTCATGGTATATCTTTCTTATTCGCATATGCATATACGAGGGCCGTCCTAAAACCCCAGTCTTCGGTTTTGATTATCGCCGAACGGGGAGAAGTAAAAGTTGTCAAAAGCTGTGCGCGCGCAAGGAGCGCGCAAGTGCAACCCAAGGGACGCGCAAGGTTACAGTTTTGAAGGGTTTCATGTACTGATGTTGCCTAGATCAACCTTCGCAAACCGAGATCAACGAAACCTAGTTTCTGCGTCACTGTGCGCGCGCAAGTGCGGCGCAAGGGCCCAATCCCGGTCAAAGGAATAACGGACAACCCTCATATGATTGTAGTTTTATGTTTCTTTACTAGAATTTACTGTTCATTGTTGAAGTGGCATTCACATGATCAGCTCTAAAGAATCGTCCTTGCATTTTTCAGCAAAGTAGTGTCAAGGACAGCCCCCAAGCAAGCAAACTCCTGCAGAGCGTAATCCGGCGTAAGCACTTTTTGGAGAATCACGCTGCGTAAGCACCGCAAGCGACTGCTTGCACAAGTTGTTGAATGCTAGGACCTAGGCCATCGGATGTCGAAGCCACAAGGGTTGCCGCACAGGGCGCGTGAGCAGTCAGAAGAAGGCGCGCAGGGTTTCGCCCGCCATGATGCCGCAAAAGCCGTTCCTTGATCTGCACTCAAGGCAAGAGGAAACTCTGGGGGCAAAGTTGTCGGCCAAATCCAAAGCGCTGAGCAAGAGGGCTGCAAAGCGAAGACTCCGAAAAGAACAACAGCGCCAAGTTGATCCGCTTGAGAGAAAGTATTTGTCAACTTCCTCCTCAGAGTCACCCACGTTATCTTGAACAGTGGCGGCTGCATAGAAAAGGAGCCTGCGTAAGCGATTCTTGAGGCGAACCGCTCAAAGCGCCGATGTGTAAGCAACGCGCAAGCTTGACATGCTCGCTGACTGCCTCGTAAGCTAAAACATGGGTCACGGAAGCCAAGCGCTGTCTCACGCGTAATCAACCTTCCACGACATAGGAACTCATGGCGTAGCTGCAGAGGCGCTCATAGAATGGTTGTCTCGCATTGTTTATCTGAAGGGTTTTATATTTGGTCTAGAGATGTATTCAGATAATTGACTAAACAATATGAAATTTCATCAACTTTTGTTGGCATTCTCTTTAAGACTTTAGACAGCGTGAAGCCCTGCACACGTTTACAACTCGTTGTTGGTAGGTGTCTTCGTCATGTTCGTCAACGCTCAAACGGTTACACTTTTTCTGGGGTCTCCTTCCACAGCGAGTCGGCGTCGTTGCTTTGCCGTTTTCGAGCAGTCAGGAAGGTCATTGACCGCAGCCTTTGCTCCGCAGGATGCTCTTCAGGTAACAACATTGGCCATCCCCTGACAGCGCTGAGGGCTGATGAATGTGTATCCCAGATTTCGAGCACAGATCAACACCCAAAGTCACAAGTTTTCAGCTGGCCAGTACCAAGTTGCCAAACTCGCTTGCCATGCAGCAGCTGTTAAGCCCCCGTTCCTTTTGCGGGGGGAATGGATGATTTCTGAAGAATGCCACATTGGTACAAAGATACAACACGTTAGTTGTGTTTTCCTTTGAACACAACTGACGCGGGGGTAGTGCCTTTTTAATACCCTTTGTTGGGGGGAGGGTTCCCACTACAGAAAAAAGAAACGGTGCCAACTTATTCTAACCTCTCAAGTTTGGAGGACCTAGTGATGGTAGCTTCCCTGAAACTCGCTGGGGTGGGGGTAGGGCTTCACATGGGTAACTCGACGCATCCGAGCGCCTCTCAGGCCATGCGGCCTCTCCGCGGCGATCTCGTGACCACCTGGCCGCAAAAGAAATCCTCCGAGGGGTCCCGTGGCTTCGGTGCGGCGAGGGGAGGGGGGGGTAACGGGAGCTGCGGCGTCTTTTTGAAACCCGAGAACGAAGGTGAGTTTCCTGGGCTCCTGTTTTGTTTTTTTCTCCCCGGAAAAGGAGTGGGGGTCTGATTTTTTCGGAGTGTACATGCCCCCATGGATCCATGCATATATATATATATATGCACATGGATGTGACACATGATTGCGACTGAATGGGCATGTTCGTGTTTCTGCCCGGGTTTGTGCTTGTGTTTCTGTTTCTGTTTGTGCCGTGTGTTTTCGTTTGTGTGTGTGTGTGTCTTGGTGAGTGCGTCTGTGAGTCAGCATGGGTGTGCTCGCTATCTCGGACCAAGGCCAGGCCTTTGTCAGTCCGCCTTCCAGACTTTGTTCACGCCCCCTTCCATCAAGAGCAACCGCGCCACCATGAACATATTTGTTGTCTATTTTTTTCTGTAGGTCTTGCTGCCATGAGTCCCGACCGGAAACCTCAAGGTCCCCTTGGCGCCGTTCACGTGACATGTCGCTCGAAACCACGGCACGGTGTCGCTCGAAGTCTTCGCTTCGATTTGCGCCATGGGGCAATGGCCTGGCCATGAAGGTCGGGGTCCGGTTCTTCCGCGGGTCGAGGTGAGTCAGACTTGCAAGAAAGCCTTTGGCAAGCGAACCACAAATAGGTTCCTCAAATCTTGAATGATTATTGTTCGCGTTACTGGCATGACTATTATAGATTCTGATAGATCATCTTGATGAATATGAATTATGACTATGATAAATAGTCTTGAATGATGTATGTGAGTTATGATGACAAACCATACATGCATGTAGTGTGCATTTATTCGGGGGAAGGGAGTGGGACCGCGTGCCCAATCAATGAAGGGTGCTGTTTAGAGGGAGCCATTTAGGAGCCGGTGAATGATTCTCGGATGCCACGCGCCAAGTTTCATGATATTATGGCTGTGGGTCGAAACCAAGGGTACGATATTGGGGTAGGTGCACCACCCATTTTAGTCTATTTCAGTGGTGATTGGGATGTTCACTGGGGGTACGGGATTTTGACCCATGGCCATATGTGGGTGTTGGCGTGTTCTCAACCCTGCCTGATTTGTCGGAGCCCAACGCATCGCCTTCATTGTTGTTTGTTGCAGCCTCTGTTCAGTTTGTGGGAAAGGCATCGGACAGGCCGGATGCACGGTGTTTTGCCGAGTGAGTCCAAGGCATGTGGGTATCCCTTTCCCAGGTACTTGTGATGGTTGGCCCTTGATTACCTTTGTCTTATGAACCGTCTGGTTCATCCCTTCCCAATCCATACGCCCCTTCCCTATTAATACATGTTTGGCGGCCAAGCGCTTTTTATTGAGAGGCGAATTCGGGGTCGGCCGGGCTCCCTCAGCCATGGTACACTCATCCCTTGAAACGGGCCCAAATGTTAACTTTGTAAACAGGGTGTAGCACAAACTTTGAAAGGGACAATATGTATATATATATATATATACATATTTATATGTGTTTTTTGTTGGTTCCAGCTGGTCAGATAAGCATACGGGAAAAGAAAGGCAGACAGTCAGTGAAGTGTGCAGTACCCCCGAATAGTTTGGCAGGGAGTCAGCCAGTTTGTGTATTGCTTTAGAATTGGCCTATGCCAAAAGTAGTTAGAGGTGTGCGGGAGTTTGGGCAAAACTCTTTAAAGGGTGCATTTATCGCAAAAACAGAGGAAGGGACTAGCTACCACTCGGTGTGTCTGTGTGTGTGTGTGCTTTTTGAGCATGCCCTTGCCCGGGAAACCAACAGAGAAGCCCGGCGCGGGGCTCCCCCGATTTCGGCGCATTGCATCTCTTTACTTCCTGCGGTGCCCAGGTGTCGGGTGGGGTGTTTCAAACGGGGCTTGAGGAGGTGGGCTCCGCCCCTCCAGCGAGAACATGTCAGTTGTTGGTAGCCAGTCTAACAGCATGGTGTCAAATGTTTGGTTGGTCTGGTTGGTTTGGTAAAGTCGCTTTGGCCCTGGTTGACCTGGTTCAATCATCTACCAGGGCCATCTATGTACAAACAACGCTCCATGGCCTCGGTTTCTGTGGGCCCAACGTTGGGCAAAGCTTAACGCGCGCGACTCCGAGCCGAGTCCTCAACCGGGAACCCGTAGCTTTCAGCTTGGGGGTGAGTCCGTTTCCATTTTTTTTCCAGGGATCCGGTCTTGGAAAAGAAGGATGGTTGTTTAAAGAATGGACAAGGAATCAACCCCTAGAAGCTTAGCTTGGTCGCTCCGATCGATTCCCTTCAGGCTTGGCGCCCTGCTTCGCCGGGCTCCTGGACATCAAACACCTTGCAGTGCACTGGAGCTCAAGTGGCAGGTGTGATTTTGATGGCGTTGAGTGCGCTCCTCTGATTTGCCCCAAGTCAACATGTTTGACCTGTTGGCTTTGGCTCCTTCTATCCCCATCCCATTGATCTATCCATTGAAGCATTGAAGGGGGCTTGTTTTGGACAACTCATGGCTTATTTGGTCAATGGAACACATGCACAACCGGGGAAACGAACGAAGGTCTACTGAAACAGACTGACAACCCGGTTCACCCGAGCACGTAAGTCCATGCCGAAGACTGAAGCCAAGCGTCAAAAAGCAAAGGACCCAACGAAGGCCTCTTTCCAGGCAGCACACAACTTTGATACCTTGGATCGTGCAATCACTCGCTTGTACCATTTCGGTATTTGCGCACTGGGCCATTTGTCCATCGAAAGAGGTGGGCATGCTGTTGGCCTCGTGCAAATGGAGTCGCAGGATCCCAACTCCTTCCCAAAGCCCTTCCCCTTCCTCCGCCAGCAGCCTGAATATACCTGGGAAAGTCATTCTCGGTTGGGGGGAAGAGGATTTGAGAGACGCGTCACAGCAAGCCGGCCCAGAAGTTCACTCGGGATGCCGCCACAAAGAGGGCCAACTACCCCAGCGACGTTGACATGGAACCAGAGATGCTTCCAGGATCCGTTAGTCAGCTTCCATGTTTCTGGAGATGGCACACAAAACTAGGGGTGTCTTGGGCCCTGTTTTCTTCCATTTGCTGAAGAATATGTGTTATTTTCCTTCGTTGGTTTAAACAGATTTTATCACTACTGGCATTAGATTTAATTTTTCCCAGGGGTCGAAAATCCAAGTGGAAGTTTGCAACGGACATTGAGACTCCGCGTACTTTCGGCCCGGACGTAACCCCGGAAGCCAAGTTCTTCCTGAACGCGCTCCTTTTGGGCTTTTGCATCCCAGAAACTCGCCTGATGCTAAGTCCACCCGAAGCACACAGATCTTGTTCAACGTCTGATTTGAAATGGCTGCGGGTCAAAACGAATGGGATCCCATTTTGGGGTAGGTGAATTCACCACCCATTTTAGAACCTATTTTAGTGGGGATTGGGATGTTCATTGGGGATACGGGGTTTTGACCCATGGCCAAATGATCCAAGGATTCTTTCAATCGCAGACCTTCTCATAACAGTCCTGATTTAACGGGTATCACTGAAATGATCCAAGGATTCTTTCAATCGCAGGGCTTGTGTTTTGACAGTTTCCCTTCAAAGTTGAGCAATGTGGAAGCCACAAATCCACAGAGTCCAAGCCCCAGTACAGGGGCCCAACTTTGCTAAGCAACAGCTGGGAAAGTCAAACCACCAGCAAGCACCTGTCAGTCGTTGAGTGTCACGTTGGGTCTAGCGAATTTGGGTGCCAACTTGTTTTTGCAAGTAAGTCAAATAGTCAAACGGCAAACCCTGGTTTCATAGGGACCCGCTTTTGGAAGGGTGTTCAAATTATGAGGAAGCCACGAGCACACCATCGCCATTTAAGTCCAAGTGCGAACCTCTTGTTGCTGAGATTTACCTTGATCGCAACTGCACTTTTAAAGCTACCTGTCTCCAAGACCCCAGATACGTCATGACTCCTGAATTTTGGGTATAGGACCCTTTAAATCATCGCGGAGACTCCACAGGTGACAACTGAGGCCTGATGAGATGTTTGTTCGAACGTTTCCTTCACAGTCTTTCACGGGGCTGGTTTGCACTTTTGCATCTTTGGCGGGCTTTACCATTGTGGGGTATCCAGGGACAAACGGTTCACGCTTATTTCACCATTTCATGGTTGTTGTCGGGAAGCATTTTACATCTTTGCTTATTTTGGTTTCGTGGGAAACCCCCACTTAACTGCTAAAGTTTGATTTTTTGCTCCCCTTCAACCAAGATTTGGGGACGAGCCATTTTCAAAATCTACCGAAAGGGCCGCAGGTTTTTTCATCCTTAAGAAACCCGCCCGGCAATCAGGTCGTGGCGTCGGCTCCCTCCCAGGCGGCGTTGTTTTGCAGTCGCACTCCGATCTCCGTATGGATGCAAACAGAGCTTCAACCAACTGGAGGGGGGGGCAAAACAGGAGCAAGTCAAGTGACTGGGGTGTTCAGATTGTCAGATGTCATGGATGTTCCGGATGCCCAGTTTGTCAGCATCGAGAGTCTTCCAGGGTACCATCCGGCCTGATCGCTGCCGCCAATTTGGCAGGCGGCTCCATTTGTGAATCAAAGTACTGCTGGCTGAATCCGCTCGTTCTTTGGTGCATGCGGATCCAACAGGTGCAGTAGGAAACGGCACCAGAAATCAGAGTGCTTGTGGCCACGACTTCTGCAAGACTTACTTGCTGCTGTCTGAACTTGCTGTTAAGGAACTGTTTGTCCTACTTGTCCAGGTAACAAGGAAGTCATTTTGGCAGCTCCTCGATCTTTAGACAATCCCTTTTGAAAAACATCAACTGCACCTGCAGAAACAACCACCACAATCACAACCCAACAACAAGAACAGAAACAGGGACAACAACTAATAACAATAACCATCACACAAATATTTTTTAGCAGCAGCAGCAGCCGCCGCAGCAGCAGCAGCAGCCGCAACCGCCACCACCACCACCACCGCCGCCGCCGCCGCCGCCGCCGCCGCCCCACCACGGCCCGCCACCACCACGGCCCGCCACCACCACGGCCCGCCACCACCACGGCCCGCCACCACCACCGCCATCGCAGCAGCAGCAGCAGCGGCGGCGGCGGCGGCAGCAGCAGCAGCAGCAGCAGCAGCAACAACAACAACAACAACAACAACAACAACAACAACACCACAGCCCGTGGCATCGACAGCCCCCTGCCCTGCGCAGGTCGCACCGAGCCGTGCGCCAGCCTTGAAATCGAGGACTCCTCAGAAGTTGCAGTGGCTTAGAGGCGAGGAGTCGGGCAGTCGCTTGGGATCGCCAGTCTGTTCTCGGGGGGAAAAAAGGCGACTTTTGACGGGGTCGCTTCTTTTCTCCCTTTTGGACGGGTTAAATGCTGATGACAGCAGGTGCTGTTCCAATTTGTCCGCCAGTCTTGAAGTTTTGACAGCGTTCTTGGTCATTTAGGTGGGCTAATGTCCTACATGGAATGGGGATTGCCGCTGGAAGTTCACTTATTGCTCCACGTCTCATGTGTGGACAGATATTTCAGATGAATGAATTAGTGGACTAAATTAAGGACAGGCAAAATAGTGGTTGGGACCACCTGAAGAGGAAGTAACCTACCTGTACAGTGGGGTCAGGGTCACACACGATGGCGGGTACAGTGCGCGCATACAGTGCGCACAGTGCCTGACCAATGCGTTCACAGTGCGCGCATGGCAAGCGTACACTGTACGCCGCCTGCACCCCGCGCGCGCACTGTACGTCACTGTACGTAAGCGCACACTGCATTATCCGGAAACATCGTGTGCCACAATTTGCTGACGTAGTGCGTACATACGTAGAAAAGGTTCTCCATGGTATGTCAAGAAACTGATTCTTTATTTACCTGGTGGCCTCGTGATCGTTCAGCTTGTCGGGCGGCTGACCAGCAAGCTTCAAGGATTGAATCCTTTAGGTCCAACTCAGAGACAAACGAGGCTGACAAGATGAGCGATGATCGGGACTCGGGACCGTCCCCGACTTTGCATTTGGGTTTTGAGTGGCGCGCGTCAATAGGCGGACACCACATATCAGTGCTGGATGATGTTCCAAAGTTATTTAAACTAAAACAAGCAAACATGCTATGATGGGACCTCGAAAAAGCGTAGAGGTGTGGATGTAGGGTCAAGAGTGCAGGTGTACTACGTACGGCTGCACGTACGGCGGTACATACGGCTGCAAGTTACGTGCACGCGGGGGTGCCTGCGGGTGAGCGGTCACGAGCGCAGGCGTGCGTACACAGGAAGATCCTTCAATCACCCATCCATGGTAGTAGCACAAGATGTGGCAGGCGGCTGCTCTTTGCCCGAACGACAAACAAATTGTATAAATTTTAGGTTGCCACCTGCGATACAGATAGTTCTCCCCTTTGAGATCAAATAGTCATGGGCAGGGTTGTCCTTTTTGGACCTTGAGAAGGTTTGGGACCCCCGCACGTGGATTCCTTTGAGAATGCCAACCGTCTCGAATGCCAACCGTCTCCCAACCGGATTCAGCAAAGGCAGCCGGAGCATGTGAATCCTACTATATCCTTACTTGCAAAGGACACCAGACGGAAACAGTTGTTTCTTTCCCGCAAACAAAAACAACCTCCGATCCTTGGCGCAGAGTACCAACCTTTTGCCCTTGGGGCCAGATTCTCTTGCATTTTCTTCGGGCGACTGCAACTGTAAATATACACTCCCTCAGACTAGCATGGAACCTCCCAGAAGGCCTCTGTGGAGCCAAGTCTTCCAAGGTCCTGGGAGCTTCCATGTTAGTCTAGGAGAGGGTATATGTTTTTGGTAAGGCATTTCTCTTGCCACTCATGACTCATGACTCATGATTTGCGCCTTCCAGCAGATGGCCTCGCCAGGCTGGGAGCTGGCGCTTTTGGCAGGCAGGTCTTTTGGACGATCTGATGACTCGCAGTCGGAGGTCCCGCGGCATGGGGAGTTCCTCAATTCGAAACGCGGCCGTAAGTTCTGCTAGGTCCCCCAGCTCGGTGCCCGACCTCTCAGCCCTCTTTTGGTTGGGAGGGTACCACTAGAATAGACTACAGACAAAAAGACACGGTACCCTTATTCCAACCACTCAAATCTGGAGGACCTAGTCTGGCACAGGTTAGGAGTTTGGGCAGAGCAAGGGTTTTGTTGCACTCAGTCGTGCCTTGCGGTCGTTTACGCTTACCCGCCTCTCAAGTCAAAAGCCAAGGGGTAGCCGAAGAAATCCAACCTGATTCGGTCTTTCGAGCATTCTGTTAAGCACATGCCACCTAGGGGAACTCTCTAATATGGGTGCTTGCCCTTTAGCCCACCCCAAACCTTGGTTGGGACTTGTTTGGCCAGTCTCAGGCATTAAGTCAGCTATTCTCTTTGGATTTTGTTTTGGCAATGAGCGCGTTTGCGGAGGAAGTCTGTGCAGGCAAACCTTCATTCTTCACAGGAGTCATCTTTGGTGGGCCCTGTTCAGGGTCTATTGTAATTGGCAGTCCATGGCAGCCCAACCCTTTCAGGTGCCGCCAGCAAGAGACGAGCAGTGGTCACTAGACGTGTGGGGCCCGGAGAAGTCTGAAGGTTTGAGCTAAGTCTCAGCAATCCGGGTTGGAAATGACGGATGTGTGGGCTCCGATGTTGACGAGGGGTGGGGAAAGAAGGCTCTGTTATTTTGGGAGTCCTGATGCTGAATTCCTCAGAGGGGATGTTGTTTTGGGTTGTACAGATGCTCCAACCAAGCG